TCCTTGGGTTTCCGAGGCAGTATCACTATGAAAACAGGATTGCCCAACCTTCCTTCCGAGGAGTGGCTGGTGGGTTTGAACAGACTGCCTTCTGGTTAGCAGTCAAGTGCCTTAGCCACTATGCTACCAGAGCTCCCAACTAGAATGTAGACACGTATTAATTTGGGTGAAGGGAAAGACAATATACAATAAGGGGGAGGTCAGCACAAAATGATTAAGGCAGTAGAAGACAAGAGGGAGGAACACAAGAGTTAAAGGCAACAAAGGTAAATGCTATTACATACACAATCCTGCAGTAATAGTAATTACAATAACTTACAGATAGATACATAGGCGCTCTGGTAGCGTAGTCCTTAAGGCACTTAGCTGCTAACCAGAACGCTGGCAGTTCAAATCCACCAGTCACTCCTCAGAAGGAAGGTTGGGCAATCTACTCCGTAGTGATACCACCTCAGAAACCCAAGGAGGGGGTCACTATGAGTCAGGTCTGACTTGACGACACATACCAACAACAACATAGACAGACATTCAATCTGAACAGAGGTGGGAAGGTGAATGGGACTATACCCATGAATATATATATATAGGTTTGACAAAGGCTATCTCTACCTATGTATTTGTATGTGCTGCAATATATCCATGAATGTAATAGAGCATATATGAGTCAAATACAGGAGACAAAGTTATGAAAATGTCTTAGTCATAACCAAACACCTTGAGGGAATGAGTCGCTGGACATGGGGGTTCAGGACCATAGTCTCAGGGGGCACTAAGGTCAACTGGCATAAAACAGTCCACCCAGACAATGTTCTACATCCTACTTTGGTGAGTAGCAACTGTGGTCTTACAAGCTCATTAGCAGCCATCTAAGGTACTCGTTGCCCAGAACAAAGAAGAGTGAAGAAAATCAAAGATGTCCAAAAGATTAATGGAGCACATGAACTCCAACTCCCAGAACCCTATCACCAGAAGAACTAGATGGTGCTGACCACTCTGAAAACCAAACCAAACCAAACTCACTGACGTCGAGTCGATTCAACTCATAGCGACCCTCCTTGAGTTTCTGAGGCGGTATCACTACAGAAGTAGATTGCCTAGTCTTCCTTCCGAGGAGTGGCTGATGGGTTTGAACCACCAGCCTTCTGGTTAGCAGTCAAATGCCTTAGGCACTATGCTACCAGACCACTCTGAAAGGGATCACAATAAGAGGTTCTGGATAAAGTGAGGGAAAATGTGAAACAAAACTCAAAACCATAAAAAAAAAGACCAGACTTACTGGTCTGATGAAGACTAGTGGAACCCCTGAGACTATGGTCCTTAGATACCCTACAAGCTGGGAACTGGCAGTCAAACAGCAGACAGGCCTATAAGGTGAACAGCATTATGAGAAGGGTATGCACTCATTAGAACTATCAAGCATATGAGAGCAAGAGGACAGCATTTGCCCAGGGACAGAGTCAGGAAGACAGGAGAGGATAAGGAGGAAGAACAGAGAGGAGTGGGCACAGGTGAAAGAGGGAAGAACATTGATATAGTGTGGGGATTGCAGTAAATGTCAAAAAGCAGAATGTGTATGAATTGTTGAAGGGAAAACCAATTTGCTCTGTAAACATAAACTTTCACACAAATCACACACACAAAAAAAAAATTAAGCAAGAATCATCTATTCTTCTCCCCAGCACCCACAGAACTCCCTGCTTCCTTTCTCCCTTAACCTCTAGCACTTCCAGAAGATATGCTGCTTGCCTTGACCTTCTCCTCCTTACCACCTGCTAACCTTGCTGCACTTCTGTCTGGTGGGGACCAGAAAGGGGGGAGTTTGTTTATTAGTCAACTCTGGGACATTTCTAACCTCTGAAGAACTGCCCGGGTGGACCAAAGGAAGAATGAAAATCCATGTAGATGTCTGGGCATTGGAACCATTGGACCTTTGAGAACTACCAGTTCCTCTTGCTGGGAAGACTTTCTTCTCTGTTGTTAAGGCTTTGTTGTTCTCAGCTGCTACCTCACGCACAGCTGAACAAAATGCTACCCATCTCATGCCATCCCTGTGATCAATCAGCTGTGGATTGGACTATTAGGATCCCTGGGGTTTCCATTTTGTGATCCATAGGGTTTTCATTAGCTCGTCTTTGGAAGGAGATCTGTGCCTCTACAACCTACTTGTTTTTTATTGTGAGGATTATTAGAGGAGGAGGTAATGCTGCACCTTGTTGAGGGGGCAGGTCTTGAAGCACAATGCCTTCAGAGTCAACAAGGTCCTGAAGCAGTGGTGTCTCTAGAGGGGTGCAGGGAGTGCGCACCACACCAGTTGACACTGTCAGAGGGGGTGACACCAAAACAACTGTACAATTTTTGTGCAATGCTTCAGCAGGAACTTAGTATTTATTATAAAAGTATCCCTATCTTTAGTTATAACAACAAAAATATTTTTAGAAGCCTAGCTTGCATGCATCAATATACCTATAAAGCTAAAACTCTATGTATGATAATTTATTTTTTTGAAACTTCTAATGCAATCTGATCAGAACTGTCATTATTACCCAATGACAATAAAGCTTCCAAGTGTGGTTTAATCTCCCCACCCTACAAGCATGCGCTGTTTTCATTGCTGCCATTGTTTTTATAGTCAATGATTTTTATCAAATTTTCTGGTGTTTTAGCTACAATATTTTAGTAATTAGTATTTGTGAACCTATATCAATAACTTTTTTGAGAATAAAGTAGTAATTAAAGGAAAAGACAAAAATTAAAAAAAGCTTTTACTCAGTTAATAATAATGTTGTTAACTAATAGTGTTGTAATTCAATGTAGAAAGATCTTACAAAACAATTTTCTTGTAAGTATTCATATAACCAATTGAGATGTTTCAAGAAATGGATGCAATGCTGGAAGCACTCAGTTGTCCATGCTAAGAAATTTGGAAGACAGCCACCTGGACAACTGACTAGAAGAGATGCATGTATGTGCCCATTCCCAAAAAAGGTGATTCAACAGAACGCAGCAATTGTTGAACAGTAACATTTATATCACACACAAGTAGTTTTGCTTAAGATAATTTGAAAATGGTTGTGGCAGCATGTGACAGGGAACTGCTAGAAATTCAAGCTGGATTTAAAAGAAGACACTGAATGAAGGATATTATTGCTGATATTGGCTGAAAGAAGAGAACACCAGAAAGATGTTTAGCTGTGTTTTCTTGACTATGCAAAGGCATTCCACTTAATTTTACTCATTAGGAACCTGTACATAGACAAGAGGCAGCTTTTCAGACAAAGGGATACTGAATGGTTTAAAAATCAGGAATGATGTGCATCAGGGCTGTATCCTTCCACCATATTTATTTGATCTGTATGCTGAGCAAATAATCTTAGAAGGTGGACTATATGAAGAAGAATGTGGCATCAGGATTGGAGGAAGGCTCATTAACAACCTGCAATATGTAGAAGACACAACCTTGGTTTCTGAAAGTGAAGAGGAGTTGCAGCATTTGCTGATCAAAGACTACAGCTTTCAGTATGGATTATACTTCAATATAAAAAAAACAAAAATCCTCATAACTGGACCATAAGCAACACCATGATAAACAGAGAAAAGATTGAAATTGTCAAGGATTTCATTTTACTGTTGTTGTTATGTGCCATCGAGTCAGACTGACTCATAGCGACCCCTCCTTGGGTTTCCGAGGCAGTATCACTATGGAAGTAGATTGCCCAACCTTCCTTCCAAGGAGTGGCTGGTGAGTTTGAACCGCCAGCCTTCTGGTTAGTAGTCAAGTGCTTTAGGCACTATGTTACCAGAGCTCTTTAAAGTGTTGAAAAGCTAAGATGTCCACCTTGAGGACTAAAATGCGCCTGACCAAGCAATGGTATTTTCAATAGCCTCATACGGGAGCTCTGGTAGCATAGTGGCTAAGACACTTGCCTGCTAACCAGACAGCTGGCGGTTCAAACCCACCAGCCACTCCTCGGAAGGAAGGTTGGGCAATCCTACTTCCGTAGTGATAACTGCCTCGGAAACCAAGGAGGGGTCGCTATGAGTCGGGGCTGACTGGACTGCACATAACAACAACAACATACGCATGCAAAAGGTGGACAATGAGTAAGAAGACTGAAAAATTGATACCTTGTAATTTTGATGTTTGTGAAGAATATTGAGTGTCCATGGACAGCCAGAAGAAAGAACGAATATGTCCTGGAAAAAGTATAGCCAGAATGTTCCCTAGAAGCAAGGCTGGCAAGACTTTTCTCTCACGTCCTTCGGACAGCTTATCTGAAGTATCAGTTCGCGGAGAAGGACATCATGCCTAACAAAGCAGAAGATCAGTGGCAAAAAAAGGTAGACCCTCAACGAGATGGATTGACAACGTGACTGCAGCAATGAGCTCAAACACAGCAGCGACTGTGAGGATGTCAGTGTTTCATTCTGTTGTACACAGGGTCCCAATGTCGGAGCAGACTCCGTGGGACTAACAAATACATATAGTCTAAAAAATACTACAGTTATACAATTTAAAAGTCATATAACATGTATTCTATGTTTTAAAATAATAATATTACAAGAGATTCTGTATGGTCTCGTGGGGGGATGATACCAAGGATGACACTACTTATGAAGGTCACTCTGCGACCCCCAACCACTCTCTCTGACGTCGGCAGAACCTCCTCAAAACAAAACAAACAAAATGGAGCTCTGATGGCATTATGCCTAAAGCATGTGACTGCTAACCAGAAGACTGGGTTCAAACCCACCACTCCTGGGAAGGAAAATTGGGCAATCTACTTCCGTAGTGATACCGGCAAGACAAGAGTACTCTAGGCCCCTGAGCTCACCAGCCGCGGAAGATACCTCACCGCCAGTCACTTGTGTGGCCCAACCAATGGCGGCGGTGGGCGGTGCGGAGGTGGGCAGGCACGGGGCGGAGCCTGGGCGCTGGGCGCCGGAGCTTGTGGCGTCAGTACGCGCGCCGTGTCCATGGAGAGAGGGTGAACGGTCGGAGCTCCGGCCCGAGGCATCCGGGCCAGCGAAGATGTCGGCTTCTTTAGTCCGAGCCACTGTCCGGGCTGTGAGCAAGAGGAAGCTGCAGCCCACCCGGGCCGCTCTCACCCTGGTGAGTGCGCAGGATGCGCGGCCGGGCCCGTGACGTTTGTTCACCTCCACCCCCTGCGAGGAGAGGTCACGGAGACGGGGAGTGGGGACGCAGAAAGCGCGGACTTTGACGAGCGCCGGGGCGTCGGGTCCCGCTCCGCAGGCACCGTATCTCGGCTTTTTCTTTTTCGGCTCCCTTGTGGGAAAGATAAAGCACCGGGGCGCAGTGAGAACTACGTCTCCCAGGGGGCTGTGCGGGCGCCGCGCTCCAGGCCACGTGGGGGGGCGGGGGAGGGACGGTGTTCGTATTCCCGGGGCGGGTGCTGTGTGGCCTGCGTCCTTAATTAGAACCAGGAAACATCCCCTAAAGCCTTGCACCTTCAGGCTTTTGCTGGACTATTGTTGCTTGATGTCCGATGTTGTTCAGACCTTGAGTGTGCTAAGTACCACAGATACCTCGATGAATCTTATTAGGATTCCTCACTGGGTTAAGCGCTCTATGTACAGACCGGGCAGTTTCGTTCTGCTGTGCATAGGGTCGCTGTGAGTCGGAGAGGACTGGACGACACCTAACAACAATACTAACGAGCCAATCAAGAGGCTCTTGGAAGACATTCCTGTGGGTCTGCTTTCGGAAGGTCAAAGCCTTGAAAATACTACAGAGCGGTTCTACTCTGCCCGTGTGGAACCTGTTCCTGGATTTACAACAACAGCCCCTTCCGGTGCTCGGGGAGGGGTGAAGCTTGTCGCGTGACAACTTAGTGAGTGCGGGGAGAGTCTTAGTGCACAGCCATAGCAGAGCCCTTCCCCCTTGCTGTGCACAAAGGGTTACTTCCTGCTGTCGTGTAATGCTTTGTGGGACTGCCTCCCTGCAGTCCTAGGCTGTGGTATGCACCTACAGAGGACAAAGAAGGATAAAGATTGCCCCACTGAGGGAATTTACAGTGTTTACAGGGTGAAAAGTCGGACACACCTGGGGCACGAATTTACCGTGCAAACAGTATCCCCTTGAATTGTATTTGCAAGATTTTTTTAATTGAGGTATAATTCATATAATATGAAATCAACCACTTTAAAGTGTACAGCTCAGTGGCATTTAGTACATTTATAATGTGGTACGACTATCACTTTTCCTTAGTTTCAAAACATTTTCATCAACCCAGGAGGACCCATCATATCCCTAAATCGTTGGTTGTATTAGTAATTTTGAAAGAGATTGATTTCATAGGAAAGCCATCGCCTCAGCATTGTTCACACACGCACTTAGTTAAGAAGGAGGCTTTGTGCAAGCATTCAGCACCTAAATCTGGGAGAATAGATTATTTAAATTGAACCATGGAGTCCATTCAGTCTAATGCCATAAATGGTGTTTTGACAGAAAATTAATTGTAGCAAACTAGAAGAAATTCATGTTCAGGTGGGAGAATTTGTTTTTATAATGGGTAAATGTTTTAGGACCTTAAAGAGACACTGATGATACAGTACTGTATTCTCTTAACTTTTTCTGTACCGGCAAGCTCATTCAAAAGAATTCTACCATTGGTAGTGGTTAAGCCAAAAAGAGTCAGGAGGAGACTTTCTTGGTCACCATTAACGTGTTACCTGTTCCTTTAACATGCCTTGAATTATTCTCTTCCTCTTCATTCCTACTCATTCAGCAGACATTTATCAAGACCTAGAAATAGTTCCTGCCCTCCTGTCCTGAGGGTAATAACACATCTCACCGTCTCAGAACCAGCTTGCTCACTTCTGGCTCACTACACATGACCACTCATTAGGCTAATTCTGCAAAAACCACTGCTTTATCATATTAGTCCTTGGTTCATCAGAGCTCCTTGTTGCTTGACTCATCTGTTCCAGTTGACTTGCAACATGATAGACTTTAGAAGCTCCTTTCCTCCTGATCTTTCTTACAAGCTGGTGCCAGAGGAAAAGAAACATTAGCACTGCTTTCCACTAACAGGGCTTGTGTCCGTTTTAGTCCTAGACGTATGTTCCTTCATCTCAAGACACTATGGTATATATGCCATTTGTGATTAGTTTTCAAATGTTTTGCAAACATTTTTACCACAGCATGTTCTTTTATATTCAGAAGCAGTGAGGTGATGAAAGGGCTAATGAGAGGCGACGGATAAGATGAAACAGAGGTAATTCAATAAAACTGGTAAGAAAAGATAAATGTTATCTTTGCAATTGGGGTGATACATTGTAAATTTTGACATCAGGAATTGGACATGTGGCAACATTTGAGAAGTGCTGGATCTGTGCAGTCAACCTACCAGAGGGCAGCAAGAGGAAAAGTAATTGATGAAATGGAAAAATGATTCAGTGTTGTCAACATCAAATTATCTTGAATTAACTGGATGTTAGTCCATCTTAAGACTGGTGGTTTCCTTGAAAGAAGGGCTTAGAATAGGGACAGGCTGCCTATGAAACATTTATGTACATAAGGGACAGTTCCCTGGTTGAAGGCTTTCAGACTCCCACCCACCATATCACAATACCCTTGGACACCTGCAGAGAACATAAGAGAGCATTGCCCCTTTTTTCTTCCCCACATTTTCCTATATACCCAGGAACTGACAGGTGGAATTGATTTTATAGGCACCAGAGTAAATGTGCTTGAAGAACCCAAAGATTTCATGCTGCCCTGATGCTGGCAGAGACTTTATTTCCATTAAAGAGATACCGTGGTTGTACAAGTTAGAATTAGTGCAACCCTAATTTAGAAGAAGGGATGTACCCTCAGCTATGCATAAAGCAACCGTTAGTGTGAATTTATTTCCAAGAAAAAAAAGAAATTTTCTTTGAGTAAATATGAGCAAGAGTCAAATAATATTGCTGACATTTACAGTTCTTTCCTGAAGTATATATTCCATACATTGTTGTTAGGTGCTGTGGCAGTTCAGTTTGTGTGTCAACTTGGCTAGGCCTGGTTGAGTGGCTGGGCAGCTGGTGGTAGTTATTCCTCATGATGAGACTGGTAATCAACTCCATGGTGGAATCTCCTGGGAGCAGCTGAGTAGCTAACTGCCTTTGGGTATGTGGTCTGCTTCCTGTACATAAGGAGAAGTTTGGAGAATGGTCTCTAGCCTATGGCACTCTTGGACCCTGCACGTAGCTGTGTCGTTGCTCAGCAGCCTGCTATACTCTGCCGACCTTGGAACTTATGATGGACTTAAGTTAATGGCCTGCCATGTGGTTTGGTAACATCGGGACTGTGCCTTTTTATTTGTCAACCTTGGGGCTTCTCAGCCTCAGCAGCCAGCAGCTGTCTGAGTGAAGAAACGCCTCTAGCTCCAGTGGGCCGGGAGCAGGAGGCAGAGCTGGACCCCAAGGTTGAGGGGCTTTCACCCAGTCCCTAGAGCTTGGCACTTGGAACTTGGATTTTAAAGCCTCCAAATTGTAAGAATAAACTCCTGTTTGTTAAGACCATCCCATTTGTGGTATATTTCTGTCAGAGTGGCACGAGGTAACCAGAACAGGTGCCATTGAATTGACTGCAATTCACAGAGCTCCCATTGACAGCAGTACTGTTCAATAGGGTTTTCAGGGCCATAATCTTTCCAAAATCAGACCATCAAGTCTTTCTACCAAGGATCTGCTGGGTGGGTTCAAACTCTGCCAACTTTTCAGTTAGTAGCTGAGCACTTAACCATTGTGCCACCAGTCTCCTTCATTTTATATGTTAGCCCTAATAATTTTTAGAGTATCACTTTGGACTACAAATGGACTTAAGGAACAAGTTTTCTGTAAGTAGAGTTGCTCCTGTCCCCCAATACAGAAGCTATTTCAAGCCAGACATATTTTTTAAAAAAACCAACTCGCTGCCATCGAGTTGGATCTGACTCATAGCGACCCCTCCTTGGGTTTCTGAGGTGGTAGCACTGCGGAAGTAGATTGCCCAACCTTCCTTCCGTGAAGTGGCTGGTGGGTTTGAACTGCCAGCCTTCTGGTTAGCAGTCAGATGCCTTAGGCCCTACACCTTGCACATTCTCCTTTCAGATCCCTCACACATGGTTTCTCACAGGCATATACTTGTTTCATTTTCTTACCAAAATTAATTCCTACTCTACTCCTTTTCTGAATTTGATTTATAGTTTGCATCACTATGTACCAGTTGTTCTTTAACATTTTCATGTGTTAATAATTTTTGTAAGGTAGCAGTTGTGTTTTAATGTTTATTCTTTATCCCTGTAAGGCAGCCTTTCTCAGTCAGAGTCCTATGGGAGAATTGAGCCCTACAGAAAATAGAGCGACATTTTTAATCCTCCTAAGGATGGTACATAAACACAAACTCAGTGCTGTCCAGTCGATCCCAACTCATAGCAACCCCTCCTTGTGTTTCCGAGGCAGTATCACTACAGAAGTAGATTGCCCTATCTTCCTTCTGAGGAGTGGCTGGTGGGTTTGAACCTCCAGCCTTCTGGTTAGCAGTCAAATGCCTTAGGCACTGTGCCACCAGGATGGTACATAGGCCAGTATTATTCTGATAGACAGGAGAGAAGTTAATTTGTTAGATATACAGTGGATTTCTTGAGGCAGTAGGACTTAACTGTCTTGGGGAACCTGCTTGAGAAAAGGCTAGGAAATGCTTATTAATAAGATTTAAAATACACTGAGGCTCATTAATGGCCTGTTAATTCATAGAAGGACCAGCACTAGAAGTCCTTTGGAACAGTCACCAGAAGTATGTCACCAAGCACTAGCTTTGTCTAAGAAGGAAATTTAAAGGAATTGTGTTGAGTTAGTTCCAATTCATAGCAATCCCTTATGTTAAAGAGTAGAACTGCTCTGTAGGGTTTTCTTAGCAGTAATCTTCTACTTCCATAGTGATACTACCTCAGAAACCCAAGGAGGGGTCGCTTTGAGTCAGGGCCAACTCGACAGCACATAACAACAACAACAATAATCTTTATGGAAGCAGATTATTAGGCCTTTCTTCTTCAGCATTGCTGTGTTGTTTCAAACCACCAGTCTTTATGTTAGTAGTTGAATGTGAGCCGTTTGGGCCACCCAGGGACCTGAGGGAATGTTCTTATTGCTATTAGTTGTGGTCTAGTCGATTCTGACTCATCAGAACCCCATGTGTTACAGAGTAGAGCTGTTCCATAGGGTTTTCAGGTCTGTGACCTTTCAGAAGCAGATGGCCAGCCTGCCTCCTGAGGTGCCTCCAGGTGGGTTTGAACTGCCAACTTTCCTGATGATAGTTGAACACTTGGCTGGTTGCATCACTAAATGTCTAACAACAAGAGAATGGTTAAGTAAATTAGAATAGATCCTACTGGTGAGGTATTAGGTAGTTACTGTAAATAATGATTTTGAAAAATATATAGACTTTGGAGTCACGACTCTTTGTTTTTTCATATACTAGTTCTGTGTGCAGATTACTTAATCTTTAATATCTAAATTACAGGTTTTAAGAATAAAAAGATGCTTATAAACCATTAAGCACCTGTTGTTGTTGGGTGTCATTCGCTTGATGCCGTGGAGGAGATTTCAGCTCATTGCAACACTGTGCGACAGGGTAGAACTGTTCCATAGGGGTTTCTTGGCTTTAATCTTAACAGGAACAGTTTGCTTTGTCTTTCTCTAGCAGAGCCACTGAGTGGGCTCAAACCAGCAACCTTTTGGTTAGTGGCAGAGTGCTTAGCCTTTCCGCCATCAGGGCTGTTTCTGTATTAAGCACTTAAACCAAAAGAAAAAAAAAAGAACTTAATGCCATGGAGTTGAATCCAACTCATAGTGACCCCTCTTTGGGTTTCCGGGGCAGTATCACTATGGAAGTAGATTGCCCAGTCTTCCTTCTGAGAAGTGGCTGGTGGGTTTGAACTGCCAGCCTTCTGGTTAGCATCAAATGTCTTAGCCACTATGCTACCAGAACTCCTTATTAAGCACCTAGACAGCACTTAATAAGCGGTAAATGTGTGTTTATTGCTATGTATCAAATGAGGAATGTGACATGGTACATTTTTCAAAGGTAGGCTACAAAATTGTGTATGTATACTCTGTGATTACAAATATTAATGTATGTAAATGTGTGTATATATACAACAGTAGGAAAAGATAAGGTTTGAAAAAACACTTTAATGCCAGCAATGACTCTTAAAGACAGAAAACAATACTACAGCTTTTTCACTGCCTGCTATTTTACCACATTGTAAACATTAAAATGCCAGGCTTATAATGAAATTAAAATAGGTTGTAGTTGTTGACCCATTTTCAATATATGTAATCATGGAGTTGATTTAATTAACTAAAGTAAAAGTTTGTTTCCAGGTTTTTTTTTTTTTTTTTAACATAGCAAAAAAATGAAAACTCCCTTGAGCTATTTAAGGAAATACACTATTGAGGATGCAAAGTTACTGCTGTAAGGAACAAGAAACTTACTGGATAACCTAAAAGAATGCTGCTGTGAAGCAGTTACTGAGACTCTGTAGTGCCTTTTCTCATCATGTAAACAATAAAAACATGCTGGAGATAGTGAAAGTGGGCCCCACCTCGCTGAGGAGCTCTTTCCTCTAGAGGCTGCGGTGTTGCCGATCCCGGTGCTGCCCCGGCTGTTGGCTAGGCCGTTACAGAGTCCCCATCTGCTCTCTGCCCTCGCCAGCATCACACCAAGACTGTGCAGTGGATTTTTGTTCCAGCAAATATTTTCCCCTGGTTTTGCCTATTTTTAGCTTATCAGAAGTCTTTTTCGTTTGACAGGCATTGAATTAATCTATTTAGCACTCACATAGAAAATGTGACCAGGAAAATTTCTAAATGGGAGATAAGAAACCTAAGGTTTAGTAAAAACTTCACTGCAATCATTTGAAAGGGTAAATGAGCACCTTATAAAACAACTTTCTTATATTTCCACAGTTATTTGAGGTTGATATTGTGTCATTTTGAAAAAAGGGGGTCATAATGCTGATCTTCAGCATTTCTTCCTTCCCTGTGTGGTCAGGCTGTTTGACTCCTGTTTTGAAAGAATCACGGGAAAAGATCTTTAGAGACACCTGCACTTACCAATTTTTTAAACTTTTTTTTTTTTTTAACAGTGACACACAATAGGCAGTAAATAAACATACATACTCACCATAGAGCAATAAAAAATAAATGTTTGACTAACAGAGCGCCTTTTTAAAATGTAATACATTGTTTTCTACTTTTTTTTTTTTTTTAATAAGCTAGTCTAGACCTCCTAAATTGGTTTCATGACACTTCTAAATGGGGTCTACACCGTTTAAACATCATCTGTTCAAGGGTCCACCCCCAAGCGGGACGGGAGCACACACTCTGTGCCATCCCCTGGGTCTGTTCCCTCAGCACAGGCTTGAGTTCTGGCTACATCTATTATCAAGTAATGGTTTGTAATCTCCAGACTTTGGGATTTGGCAAACCTGTGAAATGCCCCTACAGGAAGCAGGAGGACCATCATGCCATTGCCAGCTGAAGGAGTTAATCAAAGTAGGAAGGACATGATCTTTCTGTGATTTAGCTCTGTAGTAACAGCTGTTGTATACTGAGCCCTTCATGCCTGGAACTGTCCTAAATGCTTCTCATAAATCTGCTTATTTAATCCTCACAAGAATCCTGAGGAGGAACTGCTGTTACCTGATTACAAACGGGGCTGGAGTAAGGCAAGTAATGGGACTGCCGTTGGGACACTTCTAGGAAGTGGACCCAGAGTGCAAACAAAGGCTGGTCTTAACAGGCTCTTTCCCAGTAAAGTAGGGTTGGTAAGCCCTGAAACACTCTGTTCCTGTTTCTATTGTTGACTAACTTAGTTCTGTTCATCTAGATATTTTTAAGCATTTACTTTAAATAATAATCAACAGGAAGAACCTGATATACCCAATAAGGTACTATATTCATTCACTGATTATTTAAGTACCTTCTGTGTACCAGGCAGTATACTTATATGTGTTATATTGTATGTTGCTGGGCATATAGTAGACGAACAAAATAGATGTTGCAGGAGAAAAAAAAAAAATTACCCTTGTGATGGAAGTAGTTAGTGGTGGTATTGTTATGTGCCATCAAGTCAGACCTGACTCATAGTGACCCCTCCTTGGGTTTCCGAGGCACTATCACTACAGAAGTAGAGTGACCAACCTTCCTTCTGAGGAGTGGCTGGTGGGTTTGAACTTCCAGCCTTCTGGTTAGCATTTGAGTGTCTTAGGCACTATGCTACCAGGGCTCCTAAATAAATACTACCATAGAGATTAGGCAGAGGGGAACATGGCCCTGGCAGAGCGAGATTAAAAGAGTATTGCTGTGAGATGTTTTAAAAATAAGAAGGTGATTTGAATAGAGTTCTTGTGTTTGTTCATAAAACCTGTAAGTTTCTCTGGCAAGAATGGAACATAAATCTGTCACATGGATTTGCTAAAGCTCAGCTTGAATAGCCTTCCAAAACCAAATTCTCTGCCATTGAGTTGACTCTGACTCATAGTGACGCCCATTGGGTTTCCAAAGCTGTAAATCTTTATGGAAGCAGACTACCTCATCTTTCTCCCACAGAGTGGCTAGTGGGTTCGAACCACTGACCTTTCGGTTAGCAGCCAAATGCCTTTACTACTGTACCACCAGAGCTCCTTTGAATAGTCTTACAGACTAAGAAATAGAAGATTTAGAAGAATGCAGATTTTTGTAGCCAACAATTTAATAATGTGTTCTTTTTTCAGACACCTTCAGCAGTACACAAGATAAAACAACTTCTTAAAGATAAGCCTGAACATGTAAGTAAAACAAATCAGACAAATACTTAGTGAAAAACTAAAGTTGTATTTTCAGAATGAATTTGCTTTGGAATAAATTGCATGCTTTCATTAATTAGGGGATTTTACCTTAAAAAGTAATGTGTGCTGATGACTTTTAAACATTCAAATAGTAAAAAAAAAAGATAGTCAAGGTAAAGTTCTCATCAGGCACTTCCTCCTTATTCTTCCATCTATGTGGCAATCTCCCAATATCCTTCCAAAAACACTCTGTCCATTTTATGTGCCCAGACCAGGGCTTCTCAGCCTCGGCACTGGGGACATTTTGGGCCCAAAAATTCCTTGTTGGGGGTGGATGTTTATCAGCATCTCTGGCCTCTACCCTCTAGATAGCAGTAGCACCCTCTCCCCTAGTTGTGACAACCAAGAATAACCCCATGCTTCTGTGTGAGTTCTCTCTTCCCACTCATTTTAGAACATACTTAGCTTTTTATCCCTAGTAATAGATCTTGAATATCATCCCATGGTATTTCATAAAGGTGGCTCACTCTTTGTTGGGGCTGCATATATAGTATGTTCCACTGAGTAGGTTTGATTTGTTTAACCAATCTCCCATCTTTAAGGTCCTTCCAAGGTCCATTCAGTGCTGCCACAGACGTCATTTATCAGTGGCCCCAGTGCTCCAGGCACATTGTTGTGAATCTGGAAGCATGTATCCACTATGTGTAAGATGCTCCTAATGGGTGTGGGGATGATTGGAATTTTCATACATTGTTAATTACCTCTGGAAACCAAAAAACCCAGTGCCATCAAGTCAGTTCTGTCCCATAGCGACCTATAGAGCAGAGTAGAACTGCCTCGTAGTTTCCAAGGCTCTAAATCTTTATGGAAGCAAACGGCCTCATCTTTCTCCCACGAAGTGATTGGTGGACTTAAACTGCCAGCCTTTTGGTTGGCAGCTAAATGTTTTAACCAGTATGCAACCAGGGGTCCTGACTGCCTTGAGTGCATATATATTACGTCAGGTAATCAGACTAACAGTGTTTAGTAATTAGGCTATTAAGTGGTTTTAAGTTCATTTATACAACCTACATTATGATAGAACAGGAATTCCAGTCCCTCTTTGCTGAGAAAGGATATCAGTATTCCAACTCAGTACAGATGGAGTAATGGCTAAAGTATAAATTGACCAAATTAAATAAGAATATAGCTGCTTAGATTTTGAGGCATGTTTATTTGAAAAAGGAATTGCTTGTGTCATAAATTACACCTCAGGAAGTGTTGGCTGCAGTTACCTGAAGCTGGGTTTTCTTGTGCTTTTTGAGTCACTCAGTTCTCCTCTTCACCTGGGAGCTGCCTCTGTAAACGTTATTTCAAATTAAATCGAAATGTCCTCATCCATTCCTAGTATCTGGACTTACTGCTGGCTATTAGGTTTTCTGTTTACAAAGGTGAAAACTAGGTTGAACAAATACTTAGGAGTGTGCCCCACAATTTCAACTAGACAGCTTATTATTTATCATGCTAAATAAGTGACATTCCCTCACAGATACTCTAAGCAATCACTCTGAAGGCAAGTGAAACCAAGTTCTTTCTCTTTATTGTATAAGGGCAGAAGAGATTGCTCTGAATGCTATAGGTCATCAGTTTCCAAAGCAGGGAATAATATTTCTGCTGTAAATAAAAATTATGTTCAGATTAATATATAGTAAGGACTATAAGAAAACATGAAAAAAGATATATGCTGTTTTCCAAAAACCAGACTCTCTGCCATCAAGTTGATTCCAACTCACAGCAATCCCCATTGGGTTTCCAAGGCTGTAAATCTCTACGGAAGCCGACTGTCTGACCTTTCTTCCACAGAGCTGCTAGTGGGCTTAAACCACCAACCTTTTGACCTTTTGGTTAGCAGCCAAATGCCTTAGCGTAGTGGTGATTATAGTCTCCCCTCACCCTGTATTGTTTTATTCGTATATATTAATTATCTTTTTATTCTTTTTGGATTCCCATTACTGTTATAATGATGTTTGTACAACAGTAAAATCAAAAAATTTAATATTCTTTTTGTGTGTATGTGTAGTTTGGGTGCAAGTTTATAAAGCAAATTAGTTTTCCATCCAATGATTTATGCATTTTTTTCTTTGGTGACATTAGTTGCAATCCTCTCCATATAATAGCACACTTCCCACTTCTTCCCTGGGTTCTCCGTTTCCATTCATCCATCTTTCCTGCCTTCTGAGCTTTGTTCTTGGGGGAATGCTGCTCTTTTGGTCCCTTTTGGTCTTTGTGGTTGATTATTCTGATGATTACATTCCTCACAGGTATTATTCTTCACTTTATAGGTCTGTCTTTTGTTTGGTTGAAAGATGATCCCCAGGGTGGGTTCATTTCCAGGTCTGAAGGGTGTCTAAGGGCCATGTTGTTGTTGTTGTTAATGTGCCGTCGAGTTGGCCCCAACTCATAGCGACCCCTCCTTGGGTTTCTGAGGCAATATCACTACAGAAGTAGATTGCCCAACCTTCCTTCCGAGGAGTAGCTGGTGGATTTGAACCACCAGCCTGCTGGTTAGCAGTCAAGTGCCTTAGGCACTATGCCACCAGAGCACCTACTCTTACAGTAGTGAGCATTTTTAAAAATGTTTATTCTCCATTCTGTTGTTACCTCCAGCCGAGACATTTTATAACCAGAAATTTAATGTTTATCATACTTTTTAAAATGCTTATGAGAACATTAAATGTTTTTTAGTAATATAAATTGTTTAATCTGCAATACTGTAAAATTAAGTATATATTTACAATTCTTTTTCAGGTAGGTGTGAAAGTTGGTGTTCGAACCAGGGGTTGCAATGGCCTTTCTTATACTTTAGAATATACAAAGACAAAAGGAGATTCTGATGAAGAAGTTGTTCAAGATGGTGAATATTTAACAAACTTTTTCTGGGTACTTTGTTTTGTATAGGGTGAAGTAATGGTGATAACAGTAGTAGGAAAAACACAGACTGCTCACTCTGTGCTAGGCATTGTTTGATTTACGCACAGCAACTGAATGAAGTTGGTACTGTATTATCCCTATTTTGCAGATGAAGAAACTGAGGCACAGAGGGGAAGTATGGTGCCAAAGGTCACACAGGCAGTAAGTGACCTTGGTAAAAATTTAAACCCTGTCAAATTGACTCCAGAGACTGCTTTTATAACTAAATGATAGATTATTGGATAAGTTTTTGTTTGTTTATATTACAAAAGATCATCTGTTTATCTTCTTTCCTAGAAAGTTTTTAAGATGCTAAAACTTCTCAAAGGGAACCTACCAATTATTTTTGCTTGAAGCAGCAGTTTTACATCTATTTCAAAAAGTAATGTCAACTCATGCTTTTAAGGAATTCTCTATTTCTAATTTTTACTAAAAATTTCAGTGCTTTAGTTACCTTATTTGCTAAACCACTTCCCTCTCAGTAATCTGATAAAACTGATTTAAAACAAAACAGCGCTATAGCTGTCTGGGAACTTCATTTGTGGGTTTTGCAGTGTAGGTTTTGTGTGTTGGAAGTGAGATATGATAGTAGCTAGCTTGCATTCCTTGCCTGTATGTGTGAAGTGTGGATTCCTAAGTGTTCTTTCATTTTAGTAAACTGAAGTTACCAACAAACAAAGCTGGTTTTTTTAAATTATTTATTGTGATTTGGGTGAAGATTTACAGAGCAAATTCACTTTCCATACAGCAGTTC